GTTTTTTTTTCTCCAAAGACGTTTGTTTATTTATGTTGTAAACTTTTGCATAACACTGTCACTTTTTGAAGTCATAATCCAGCCTGTTCATTGTTCTTGTGACCACATCCAATTCACTTACTCAGTTTAATTTACTTTCATATTAATTCATTTTATTTTTGATAGCCAATGTCACAAATAGAGGTGCAGACATAAAATCATTTTAGGAAATGTGCTCAGTTACATGTACAAAAAGAAATTTAAACAAATCATCCGAAATACATACATACATAAACAACCCCACACAGAGACTTACATATAATACAGAGGTAAAGGAAATAATTCATATATAAAATCCCTTGAAACACCAAATGCCAGTGTGATTAAAAAGATATGCATATAGTCTGTGTCTGCAAGAATACCAAACATGGCTGGACTCTGTAGGTGCAGGTGGTATTATTAAGTAGAAGCACTAGTTTGATGTCAAAGAAGATTTTTTGTTCCTTAGATTCAATAAAAAGTCCAGATAAGGTTGAGTCTAAAGGTCTCTGACATGATTTATGTATGCATTTGTTTAATTTATTTATCTCTTCTGGACTCTGAGAAGAAGAAACTGAGAAGAAGAAACTCGGACTTACCTTCCAAAAAGATCACATCACTGCTGTGGTCTGATCACCAAGCCCAGATCGAATCTAACTCATCAGTGTAGAGTTCACTTAATATATATCACTTCAAGAAGTTTTTTTTTTTAAATGACACAACAGAAGGAGGAGATGTGGGGGAGAAACACAAATTCACAATCAACAGTTTCATTTCTTATTCATAATCACTGGTAATCTTGGGGGGGAAAAAAGGTCCAGTTTCTTAGAAATCCACACAAGACATTTCTTAGGCTCTGGGTGTTATGACTACTGTGAAAAATGCAAGTCCTGCACTTTATTGCCTTCTTCTGAGAACAAACACAGCTTGAATACTTCCCTGGTCAGAGTCTCTTGATTTTCAGTTTGGACTGTACTGGAAACAATGTCGTCTGAATACCATGCAGCCACAGAGATCACAAAGAATGCAGTCCCAAAGGTTCAGGGGAAATTATGTCACCACAGGGTAACATGATCTTTTTCATAGTCAACTACATTTTATTTAGCATACACAATGATGCTCACAGAATTACAAATGGGGTACAATACTGAGGTTATATATGCCTGAAGTAACATTAAAGGCCTAAAATAAAATCCAAGGTGGGTGCAAGAGAACGGTGAAGTTGACACTGCAGAGACTGTTGACTCACTCCTGCAAATAAATAACAAAAGCCAAGCTTATAAGAGACCTCTCACTGAGACCCAAAGCTATTTACTTCCGCTGACCGAGCAACACTTCAGCGTTTTTCGGGGTTTTTTGCTCACTACTGGAAGAAAATCAGAAAATAAATCCTGCAGCAGGTAATTTTTTTAAATGGGTGGAATCAAAAGGTAAACTTTTTACTTAATTGCAACAGCAAGAATAATACGAGTTGTGTCTGGCTGTGCTGTCAGAAACCTGAACCAAGGATTTCTTCTGATTAACTTCCAGAAATATCCTGCTCTATTCATTGTGCTGCTGCTATGTGATCCCACTGTGCCTCTGCACTGGACTTCATTCCCAGAGTAAGTAATCTTCTGAGCTGTATGGTGCAATTGCTGACAAATCAATGACACATGAAGCTGGCATTTCATAACCCCCCCCCCAAAAAAAAACAGGAACAAAGAAACAAGATTACCAGAGCAGTGCATTGCCTCAAATATGAGTCATGTTTGGTATCTGTCAACCGCAGCATACTACACATATTAATCATTAGTTTGTGCTTGTGGCAGCTGTTCTTCTTTGCTGAAACTGTTTCTCTGAGCTGCATGATCTTTTTAACATGTTAAATAATTGTCACATTTTTGTTACTCTAAACAGTGTGGTCTGAGTTTATAGCACTCTTTTCTATAGCCAAAAGACTTGGACACCCGCATTTATTTTTATAAGTATCAGGAAATCAATAATTCGACATGTATTGACTTGGGCACTTATTTCATGACCTTCTTTCCCATTAGGTTTACACTATTTGTTTTCCTTCCTCTCTCCATATGTCTTCCCTCTTTACCGCATCCTGTTCTTATCTATATTTTATGACATATATCCAGCATATGGGTATGTGTAGAAGCACTAACATCACTTGGTTAGGAGTTTTGTTTTGTGGAAGTACATATAAATGTAGATTCAAATGTACACTGAATTCTCAAAGTATATTAAATTGCCAAATATATATAAGTGTAACGCTACAGCATCAACCCAGAGTTATACATCTGGGGCGAGGTGTTTTATGCAATGCTGAACCTCATGTTGGCGAACAGAAAAAGGAAAGATCCTCTTCACACTCGAGGAAAACCTTAAACTTTCTGCACAGATGTGTAAAAACAGGCAAATCTAGAACTGAAGTGTTAAAGAGAATATGGCAAACAGCCAGAGATAGTCTAATATTTATTCAAGGCACTGGTGCTGCTTTCCAAACACTGAGCTTTTATTCCCTCCTACAAAACACACACACACACACACATACACCCTTTGACTACTTTCTCTTTCCTTCTTGCAGCTGTGAGATTTTCATCTCATGTTGGTATTCATTTGGAGCAGCAGTCCATGTGCCCTCAGATCAGCATTGGGGAGGATCATTTCCCAGGTGGACTCAAAATATAATACAGATGAAGTAATGTTATTGTGAAAAGAAAAAAAAGAGTGTATAATGAGAATGACCCCAACATTTTCTCTGTAAATAGACATTTAAGGAACACTTAAACAGCACATAAACAATAAGAACTATTGTATTGTAAGCTGTATAAGATGTATATTTAACCACTCTTGTGTCCTTCAGGATTTTATATCATGTCACAGTTCCACATTGCTGAGTTGGCAAGAAGGGGCACTGTGAAGAAGGTGGCTGGACCATCTCCTCAGAATGTTGCTTATCAAATAGGCCCAGCATTCAACTTCAGAATCAACACAAGGTGAGGTGCTGTGCTTTGAAATGTGTGAGTGAACACCGACACCTAGTGGTTTATCTGGTTTAATGCCGTTTACCCTGTCCATGGTCCTGACCATCAAAGGCGCGATTACCTGCTTCACCCCTTTCCTTTTGTGACCCATCTTTAACTTCCACACAAATCACACACCGAATAAAACCTTCGTGTTGCAAGAGATGTCGATAGGTTTCATTTTATAACAGAGTCATTAATAACAGTCTAAAAAATCAAGAAAGTTCATACATTCTGATCGATCCGCTGATTTTTGAAAAAAAAATTCTGAGGGTTTAATAACTGTGCACCCTTTATGCTGCAGATCAGCCTATCCGCTTGGATTGCCGGAGGAGTTTGTCTTTGTGGCAGTGCTGCGCATGAGTGGCAGCACCGTAAATCAAAACTGGAATATCTGGCAAATGCAAGATGTGAACGGCGACGAGCAGATGGCCGTCAGGCTCAACGGGGAATCCAAGTCGTTGGAGTTTACTTTCACAGCGCTTAACGGAGGGAGGCAGACTGTCGTTTTCAGCCCCCTGGGGTTTCTTTTCAATGACCAGTGGCACAGAGTGTTCCTGGAAATCAGCAGGGACTCTGTGGCCCTTTTCGTGGACTGTGTCCTGATCGAGTCTCAGGATATTCCACCCAGACTAGAAGTCAGCCTTGATGGCTTCACGTTAATAGGAAAGCTCAAGGATAACCCGGTGGTAGCAGTTCCGGTATGTTTCTTTTAGGACTAAATTTAGTACTAAAGTTGATGGAATTCGCCCACTTTAAGACCCATATATAGTAGGGAACAGTACTTTAGGATTTAACACCATAATTGGTCTTAGACCTAATATATTTCGATTCATAATGTTTCTTATTTCATTACAGATCATTTCCTTTTCTTTCTTTCTTTCTTTCTTTCTTTCTTTCTTTCTTTCTTTCTTTCTTTCTTGTTACTGTGGGCTATGGTTCAAGCTACACAGAATATAATATGGCAGATTGTTAAGTACATAAAAGACACACTTTCCTGATACATAATGACTTTTCATTATTTATAATAGAAAAATAGAATTCATAATTAAAGCCTAAGGACTGTTTTGATTGACCACCCACGTGACCCCAGGCCTACACTTTTTCAAATGTCTTCATTCTGATGTACACATCTTTTGCGTTTAGCATAAACGTCAATATAGTGACATTACAACTTAAATATTTTTCAAGTGATTGCAGCGCCAAAGCTTTTACTATGAAAACCACAACAAAAACGCCCCCAAACAGTCTTTTATTTATATGCACAGGAGTTCTTCCTTCCGGGCGCCCGTTAGCAAAGTTTTCCAGCATCCTGTTTGGTAGTCTGTGGTCTCCTCATCCAAACTTTACTTATTATTATTATTATTATTATTATTATTATTATTATTATTATTATTATTAATAATAGTTTATGTTCGGATATGCTCCCTGTCCTGTTCGATAGTTTTCGTTTTTTGGTTTTATTCTTTAAATATTTTTTGTCTTATCCTAACTGACGATATATTATTAAAGGGCCTAAACTTTGGGACACAGACTGTACTGTACTTTCTCGGTATTGTGCTAATTAACAGTATTTTTTCCTTATTTCTCTAGTTTGAACTGCAGTCAATGCTGATTCACTGCGATGTGACTCGAGCCCGGAAGGAAGGATGTTATGACCTCCCTGCCGGGGCATCGGTAAGAATGATCAGTTGTAATGAAGAGGAGGGAATGGGCCAAAACAGCGCCCAAGATTTGCCCTTCACAGAACAAGTTGCGGACCACGATTATCTCTTTGTGTCTTTAATTTCATTTCATTTTTTCATTCTTATATAAAGATAAACGGTAACACTAAACGTTGAATAAAATTCATTTTGGGTCGTAGCGGAGGTTAAATAAACCGCTGATCCTGCCTATTGGTAGTGTCAGCAATGTAGCCCCTCCCTGTGGTGTTCCCCTGCAAACCCTCCAATCACTTCCTGTAACCGGTCATTGTATGAATATACATGAGCCACTGAAAGCTATGGGACCTTTGGCTGTCTAGACAGCTCTAGCCGGAGTCAGTTGGGTTTTTTTACAGGGGGCTCCTTCAACCCAACAAACCCCAGAGAAAGGACTACAACTTTTACCTTTCCTGCACAGGGGAGATCATGACAGGGGCCCAGCGCATTAAAGGGCCATTTCTGGTGCTGCTCTTGCAGCTTGTCCTTATTTGCTCCTCTCAAGTAAGTCTCATTATGTTTCTCTCTCTCCCTGTTTTCTCTATTATGTCTCTAGACAGATGTGGCAGAAGTGCTGGTAAGTTCTTCTGCAAGCGTGCATGTCAAACAAAAAGTTAATTTACCTGCAATTATGCTTAGACTGGGATTTCTTTCTTCGGTTAATTTGTTTGAGCATCAATCTGTTGTGGGAAATGCAAGATTTTCAGCTTTCATTTAAATTGGTTCTTTGTTTCAGTATTTTGTCAGCTACCGAAATTCTGTTTCAGTATTTCAGAGACAGCCCTGTCTATAACATGGCAGTGCACCTGTTCTTGCTCTTTTCATATTTGCTTTTGTCAGAGGGACAAAATTGTTGGGTATTTATCAGAAAGGTAATCAGATATTTTCCTATTACTTTACAATTAATTTCATTATACATAGAATAACCAAGGACCCCCTGGCCCCCCTGGACCTGCAGGTGTCCCAGGAATTGATGGCATTGCTGTAAGTGCTTATAGTTTTTCACCATTGTCAGTATAATCTGTCAGACACTTTAAAAATAGTTCAGTGTTTGGACCCCTGAAAGTATTAAATCTCTTTTGTTTCAGGGAGAGAGGGGAGACGATGGCGAAGACGGTCCTCCTGTAAGTATTACATATAGTAAGAGATTTAAGTAATTGTATCAATTGTGTGTCTTTTTCACTGACTATCTGTAACCTTTGTTAGGGACCCGGCGGAGATGCAGGTAAACCTGGCTCTGGAGGATTACCTGGAATTCCTGGAAATGATGTGAGTGAAGTATATTTTGTACTATTAGGATCAGTATTATTTTATAAAGTTATCAAGAAACCCTGAAACCTGCAAAGGGGGTGGGACCAAGGTGTGTTCCTCCCACATTATAGGTCATGTTTGCACGTTAGACTTTTGGAGGGACCACTGAAATTTTAGATGTAGAAGGGGATCTTAGTGCATGTGTGCAAAAAATTTGAGGAATTTATTTGACAGGATGAACGAGTCCCAGTTTCCTTTGCATCACGGCCTGCATAATTTAGGTTCCTTTCAGAGTTTAACAGTGGGTTAGGAAAACACAAAAGCCCATCTTATGCTTACATTTTGGTCTTTAGGTGAATTCCCTTTCACGTTAGACGTTTAAACAGACCAAATCAGTTACTTAATTCAAAATATAAGATAAAAAAAGTCACTGCCTATATAGAAACTGCACCCAAAGTGACAAACAATAGGAGCTTTGTTTGGCAGGCCACTGTTGGTGTCTCCTGTTGAAAATTCTCAAAACAGTGTGGAATGATTTCTTTCAGTGTCGTGTTTGAAAAGCGCCGGAGGAATGTTGCAGTCCTAAAGTTTTGCCCTCTGACCTGGCGCTTATATTTTCTTGTGTGCTCGATAATTTGAAAACCCTTTTGTGGACGGAGCAGAGAAGCGTGAACTAAAATTCTGGGGTGTTAAAGTCAAGTTATTCCCACTTCCGACAGAATAGAGCAGAATTCCTCCCACACAAGTATTTTGATGATGTAACATATGGGGATCAGCTGATCAACATGGAAATATTGACTGGGATGGTGGGGTGAAAGGCATTTCCTTTTGACATCATAAGCAACATATTTAAATTCTGAAAGTGTCTTTTCAAATATAAGAGCAAAACAGGCACTTGATTTGTTTTGAGATTTGCCATGATGTGTTAATTTCACTCTATGACTCTTCTCTGCAGGGTTTGACTGGCCCCATTGGAGATCCTGGGCCTGACGGTCCCCCCGGACAGAAAGTGAGTGACTAATGAGCCTTTGCTTTCCTGCTTCAGAGACTGTCAGTGAAATGGTGCCAAGCTGCTGTCCAGTCTTTTGGCATGGCAGAAAGAGCCGCAGTGCATAAACCAATTCCTCATGACAAATGAGACTTAATCCTGCAAGTCTTCTGTGTAATCCCCATGAGGCACGAAGCCCCAACATCTTTCCTCATTAGGCTAAACATTGCTTGGCTGAGTGAGCCCAGCTCAGTCATGTGATGAGCTGAAGGAATGTTAATTTGAACTGTTTGCAGGATCAAATAGCTCAGTTTTACCTTAAAATGGAATTTCATACCTAATCCTGAAGTTTATGTTTGTTTTTTAGGGGGAACCTGGGAAACCTGGACCTCGTGGAGCAGCTGTAAGTAACATTTCCTCTTGAACCCCACCAGTCACAGGAAATAGCCAATCGAGGCCACCATGAAGTAATATGATATAGAAGCTGTCTAAATTTTAGTGTTTAAGTCATTGCTATGTTCACCAAACCCTGTACATCACTCATATTGAATCATATTATACGTCTCCTCAGGGTGCTGGGCCAGATGGACCCCCTGTAAGTAATTTGTTTACACAACAAATACAAGTTCCTGTAATTCTAAAAGTTTAAATTATTTTGTATTCAACACGTGTCAATAATACTGAATGGTCTGAAATGTGAGCAGGGGCCACCGGGACCTGGAGGACTTCCGGGTGAATTGGGAAAAGCTGGACCACCTGTGAGTAGAGGCAGAGAAAAAGGACCATTGTCGTTCTTTTTTTATTGAGACAGTGAGGAGGATACAAGAGGATACAAGTATCTTTCATGATTACAAACTGATAATATAAAAGAAGAAGAAACTACTGTTACAGCCATTTCCTTATTCACAAGAAATAGCCACAGCAGGTAGTTCCACATGTTTGATCTGGCAGCCCTTACTGATACATCCTTAAAAGGATTTTTGCATCCTTCCAGGATCTCACCGGGGGTCTTTAGCTTATTAGGCAAATGCGTAAACCACTAAAAATACATAAATATATAAAAGTTGCATTGTACATCTCTACACTCTGTAACGTCAGTGAACTGACAGAGGTACGATGCGTTAATACCCCTATAAAGCGACAAAATATATATGTGCACATGCAGAATGCATTCACACTCACACACACTGTTACCAACCCGAAAGTATCATCTAATCAATTCAGTTTTCTTTTTATTACAAATAATTATTTTGCCTAAAAAAAGTCAATCCCCAAAAGATGTAAATCATATTTTTCAATCAAAGATGGACTTTTGCCTTTTTAAAATAAATCATAATATACATTTCTAATCACAGTAAATATATTTTGTCCTATGAAACATGAAACAGTACATTAAATATCCAAAAGAAAAAGATCCACATTCCTGTGACCCAGCTGTGCTACAGCTTATTTTGTATATACCGATATAATTGACACAATCAGAATCAAAAAATAATCCACATCTTTTATTCTGAAAATCAAATTGTAAGCTGGTAATGGTGGTTTGCATTTGCTTAAATTTCAAGAAATACCTTGCCGTACTTTTATCCTCTTGCATGTTAGCAATTACACACCATGTGCACACCTTCCCTGTGTAGACTTGATGTGTTTACACCTCTTATCACAGGGGGCCATGGGTGTGAGAGGGCCACAGGGACCTCGTGGAGCAGCAGGGCCCAGAGTAAGTGATTAAAGGTTCATTTGGGATTTGATGAAATTTCCAAACTTTCTAGATATACACGTTAAAGCCATTAGGTTTAATTGGTTAGCTGCCATCAATAAACACTGTTGTCTTTCTTTTAGCGTATTTACAAGCTCCTCTAATCACTGATTATGTTGAATTATGAAAATGTTAACTGCAGTTTTCACTCCATTTCAGGGTGCTTCTGGAGTGCTTGGCAGCACTGATCTGGTAAAATTACTTTCCGTATTTCTTGTTTTGTTTTTACACTAGATTTTAGGAATACTTTCTGACTTTTATTGTGTTGCTTAGTGTCCCAACTCCTGTCCACCTGGGACCTCGGGACATCCTGGTCTTCCTGGCATGAAGGTGAATAGAAGTCACTTTTGTTTGCTCTGAAATCACATTAGTATCCCAAAATAGTGTTGTTGTCTTTTTTAATAGATCTGCCTTGTTTCTAGGGCCACAAAGGTGCAAAGGGTGAAGCAGGAGAACCTGGGAAACAAGGACACAAGGTAAAATATGTTAATGCTTGCAAACTGAAATCTACTTCATGACTATTTCCAGCCATATGAACTGATATAAACACTCGGTGCATAAACAAAGTGAATTTATACTCCTATAACTGTGTAAATAATCACTAAAAACACCGGATTTCCCCCCGCAACTGTCACAACGTTGCACATCGGGGAAAAAAATACGTGTGACTTAAACTTTAAAAAATTGATTCCCGACACCACTGAGACAAGGATTATTTGTGCTGCTCAATTTCAAGAGGAAGTGATACAAGCTTGTGTGTAATTTCTCTGACTCCTTGTCATGCACGGGCGATGATTTATTCGAAATGACATTCAAGCAGATCTAGCTTCTCCCTGTAATGTGTCCACGCACTATATAAATGGAAATGAGTCTGGGGCTATCTCCCTTTATCACCCCCATGCCAGGATATGATTTACTGTCAGCTTGCACTCCTTCGCTGAGAGTGATTTTCTCCTTCACTGAAAGTTTCATTTGAGGCGCCTTTTGCCTGCCTGCAATTCACACAACTCTCACACGCAAAGATATTTACAGTTAACGACAGAACAGCACTGTGCGGGGCTTTAAGAGTATTATCTCACAATATTTGTAAGTAATGTTGAACTAGAGAATAAGTAAATGTTGCGTTTATATGGAAGAAACTGGCATGATGTAGAAAGCAATGCTATTTATATAAAAGCATGGGGTGTATTTACATTTGAAGTCGAAGGAGACAATGGTAATCTAAATTGCATATTACATATGACATATGACCCGACTCCAACCTTCACCCAACATGAAGACTATTGTTTCATTAACTCAAAAAAAAAAATCCAATCACCAGAAAATCAAGACATTTTTTGAATGATTTAACAGTCTGGATAACTTTTATCTTCTTGAAGAGCAAGAATATTGTCCAAATAGAAGAATATGAATTCTGAATCTTACATCAGATGGTAGTTGATCAAGCACTACTAATTTCTCTCATAATAAAAGCAGCGGCTGACTTGTTTGACTGCATTAGTTTCGGCTTGTTATGTAACATTTCATTATCATCCATATATTGTTTACATATTTTAATTGCTGGTTTTGATTCGCATATTTAAAAGAATAAATTGCCCTTTTTAACAAGAGAAAATGTGCTCCGCTCTGGTCCTGATAAATATCTGTCTTAATGGATATGCTTTCTCGGGTGTACCACAGAGGCAGCAAATATATTATTTGTAATTTGCAAAGCTGGGGACCGGTTAAATGCTTGTCTGGTTTCCCCACTTGCAATCCATTAAGAAGTGGGTATTAAACACTTTTCAGAATGGCTGCCCCTATTTTCTAATTAACACACAGTGGATAAGAGCAACATCAATTTGTTTTTTTCTGCAAAAGAAACACGCTGATAAGTTGCCAGTGCCATCACGGTTCACAGTATGCCCACACTCTTATAATGTAGTTAAATTTGCAGCCCAATGTTTCATCTGATTAACTAAATATTGCTTTTCAAATGATTTTTTTTTCTTTTTTCACTCATCAAGGGTGCGGAGGGAGAGCAGGGAAGTCCAGGGGAGGTTGGAGCCCAAGGACCGAGGGTGAGATACAGTACTTAATCAGTGAATTAAGAGTCTTTCAAGCTACAATTTGTTTGTTACTGTTCTGTGTTCTGTTAATATGCTCACCAGGCATCTGCTTAACCTGTTTGTTGATCCAGGGAGCTCAGGGAATTCGTGGAGCTATGGGAATGATGGGCCCAAAGGGAGAGAGGGTAAATGTTTCTTTCATTTTTAAGCCCACGACACCATGTATGTAAACAGTAATTGGTAAATCATTTAAATAAACCCTAATTTTGAAATGAAATATTCTTAAAAGATAAAATATAAGTTCTGGAGAAAATATGAGTTCATTTTGAATTTGATACCATGAGTTCATTAAAAAAAATGGACCAGTAGTCACAAATAAAGTGAAAAAAGTTTAGCAATTAAAAAGAGATGAACTTATTTGATTGGCAAACGAACAGTAACATGATCCATAAATTGAATGAGTCCTGTCTTGAATAATATTGTTGAGGGCACTGCATTAATAAAAAGACATTATTCTATAGTGTAAATGCTGCAGTCGCCCACAAGCACATGTGAAAACAGTTGGCAGTAAACACAGTTTTTTTTTCTTGCATCCATAAATGCAAAGTGAAAAGAAAATGTTGTTCAATTGCAGTTCATCTGAAACAAAATTATCAATAACTATCCTGTGGTTGGAATATATTCCTGTTATTAGCACTTAGCTCAAAAGCCAGCATTGCTTATGGTATTAATGGTGTGACATGGGTACAACTGATGGGACATGGGTAACTTGCACATCTGTGAAGGCGCAATTAGTGCCAAATTATATTTCAGGATATCATATGTTACTATTATTCATATTATCATATTTTATGAGTATTGTCTTGCTTATTTCATCAAGACAATACCAAACTACTCCCATGTCTTACAGTAGCATAGCTACACAGTTAAAGACTGTGGGTGCTAGCTTAACTGATTGCAGTCCAGACATGTCACTGATTTAAAAAACACTGTGTTGGCTTTATAATATGCCACATTATAAAACCAACACAGGGTTAACATGACCTGCCACAACATTTCCCAAACACATTAGCTAGATTTAAAATTCAAGATCATGTGTTTAAAATGTTTTCTTGTTTTTTTTAATAGTCTGTGCTGTATTTTATTGTACTTAAAATATCGTAAAAAGACTTTACTAAAAAAAGAATCAAGATCAATCATGTTTAATTGGTAAAGTGTTGTAATTAAATGATATTAATACCTATTTTGTTCTCTGGCAGGGACCTCGAGGTCCTGATGGAGATCCAGGTCCACAGGGTGTTGCAGGGGCAGCTGTAAGTTTGTTTCAATGTAAATACATTTGTGGTTCATAAAGTTACCAAAACTAGAACGAGAGGCAGAGGGTTCATGGTCCTCTTAAGTTAAACTTGGGTTTGGGAGACAAGTATACACTCTCCTTTCATGATTAAGCTTAAATCTCTAAAAGCTTAGAGCTAGCGTTGGATCAGGTGACCCTGAACAATTCATTAGTTATGGTGCTATAGACCCAGGCTGCTGGGAGGACTTCCCATGAAACACTGAGCATTTCCTCTGCACTCCCCCTGTTTTCACTCCTGATTTGTTTATATGCAAATACTGAATGTCATTACCTTTAGTGTACTCTTTCTCGTAGTTTGCATTTTGTCCTGTTTGTTCTCCTCGGTCTCTACGTTCCTTTTTTCTCTCTCCTCTTTCTCTTATTGCTCATTGTGGATTGCCTGAATATTGAGGGGTCTTTACCTTGCTATATTGTATATAAGTCCCTTGGGCAGACTTGTTGTAAAACGGAGCTACATAAATAAGATTGCTTTGAACTAAAGATGACATGTAATTATAACCTGACAACTTATTTCAGGGGGATGTAGGCCAAAGAGGTGCTATGGGTGAACCTGGGCCTAAAGGCGAACAAGTAAGCAGCAGCACTTTATCATCACAGATATGAATATTTTCATAAATAAAACATAAGAATAACTAGACTGTTTGTTTACGGCCATTAGAAACTATTGACCGTTGGGTTGCTTTGTTGTTTAGGGTGCTCAAGGACCAAGAGGACTCACAGGCGTTCCAGGTCCCAAGGGCGAGTCTGTGAGTGTTGTATCAGTGATGACAAATAATCCTGTGATTATCAGATAGTGCACATTGTGAGCAAACCATGCATTGTTCTTTCTCTCCTTTCTCATCAGGGCTTACCAGGTGTGGATGGTCGTGAGGGTATTCCTGGAATGCCTGGAGCAAAGGTTTAGCATTATTACACTGTTTAATAGTTATAACTTGTGTTATAACTTGCAATATTATAGAAAGTAAACACATCTAGTTTTCTCAGTAGATTAATCTTTTGCTCTGTTTCCCTGTAGGGAAGCGTTGGGAAGCCAGGCATCCCTGGAGAGGTTGGACTTCAAGGGCTTCCAGTGAGTATGGTAGTCATTTCAACGGGTACAGTTTATCTAAGCTCACATATTTTCTCTGGGTTTACATTTCAGTAAAGAACTGTTATATCTTATAATGAATATCTTATAATGAATATCACACAGTGCGCATATAGTGGACGGTGCTGTCAGGTAGTGATTACTGTCATCTTCAGGCACAACTGCCAGAGCAGAGTTTTGATGTGTCAAGTTTAGGGAATTTATGAGAATCATCTTGAAATTTCGAATGATTGCAAAAGCCTTACGAGTTATTATCTTCTTATTTGTGTCAAAATGTAATTATATCCACTAACCCAGCTTTTATCCTCTCTTACCGTTATGGTGATGTTCATTTTAAGAATGGTACATTGCTCCTCTGATTGAAAGCAGTTTTCCATTTCTAGTGTCGTATATAAATGCATGTCCTCTGTTTTTAGGGTTTGCCTGGTGTACCTGGACCAAAAGGCACAAGTGGCCCTAAGGTGTTTTTCCTAATCAATATATTAAAAAAAAAACCCCAAAGATTTTTCTGTTGTTAATTGATTTTTATTATTTTTTTTCTTAAATTGTTACTATCTGAAATAAGCTTTGATGTTTCTATACAGGGAGATTCTGGTAACTCAGGCCTTTCTGGAGCAATAGGATCTGCTGGCAAACTCGTAAGTATGAACAGGGATTGTGGAAACATCAGTATAGCGAGTGTCACCTCTGTTATGACACTGTATCGTGTTACTGCAGGGTGAGCGTGGAGAACAGGGAGAGCTGGGATCTGTCGGGCCCATTGGTGAACCTGTAAGTGTTTTTTTTTCCCAAGAAGAATTTCTGTTATGCTTGTGTTTTAGATTTAAACTTTACTCCATTTCACCTTCTTATCATCTTCTTTTTGACCTACAGGGAGATAGAGGACAGCAAGGTCCTGCAGGTCCCGCTGGAAAGCCAGGTCCCCGGGTATGTTATAAAGAAAAATTCATTAGACTGTAATTGTTAAGTGAATCATTTTGATTGGGAAAACATTTATTCTTTTTTTTTTAGCTTATATTAGCTTACATTCTTACCTTAATTGGGAAAATGCATCACTTTAAAAGGCCTGGCAACCAATGTGCCCCCAACAAACAACAACAGCAATCAGTAGAATAGCTGGTAGACTACATTCCTTAATTATCTATAGATTCTTTTTAAAAAACGTTGAATGAAAGAAACCAAAGAGAGGGAAACTTCAGACTCTAAAGTCCTGGCTGTTGTTTAGCAGGAATGTCTCAGAGAATAGATGGAGGCCGGATCTCACACAAGGTCTATTTTCACAGTAAGGGGAGACCAAGCAGCGGGCTGAAAGAGCTCTCTGTTCTCCTGGCATTCCTCAGAAAGCCGGACGGTGATCAAACGGAGAATGGCACACACACAAACACGCTGGAGAGAATGACTAGCAATGCTAAGCTTTATGACAGTTACTTCTAAGCATGGTGCCAGGGGTGCCTGTGCTGGACATTTTTTTTCTTTATCCTTGCTTAAATGTTTCAACTTCTCTGATGTACATATTTATTTTTTATAGGGACCCAAAGGTGACCCTGGTCTTCCTGGTCTTCCAGGTCCTCCTGGTCTGCCTGGAATAAAAGGAGAAAGGGTAAGTAAATAAAAAATTCAGACAATTTGCTTAAAAAATGCTAAAAAGGTAAAAATGGACTCAATAATTAACAACAACCAGCTGATCGGCTCCCTCTAGAGTATACAAATGGAATATTTTGTACTTCTGAGTTTTGCATGGCGTCTTCATCTGTTTTTATAAATTACAGGGAGATCGTGGAGAACCAGGACCCAAAGGAGAGCAAGTAGGAATGCATTAATTCTCTCTTAACAGGAAAATACTGAATTTAAATAACAAATGGGTTTCTTTGCATAGATTATTTGAAAACTTTTTCCTTTCTTTTCACAGGGAGTTCAAGGTGATGAGGGAAATCCAGGAGAAAAGGGGGATGTTGTAAGTGGTTACACTAACACTAACAGGATAAATCTGACATATTTTACACGTTCACTCTTACCAAAGCACATCTGTAATGTTTCCAACATTTGTGTTTGTTATTTTTGTTACAGGGTGACTCGGGAGAACCCGGCCCTAAAGGGGAAGTGAGTTGAAATTTGTTGTTTTTAACCTTTATAGCATCACCGTTTTCTTTTTGTGCCAAGTGACTGACAATGTGCTGAGGTTTTAAAATGTTTCTAGTCTAAAAGCTCTTGTCTTTTTAGGTTGGTAACCCCGGTGAGGCTGGCAGAATAGGTCCCGAGGGAAGTCGAGGACAGCCTGGCATTGAAGGACCACCTGGCACACCTGGACCACGGGGCATGCAGGGAAACAGAGGCCCACCTGGAGTCAGAGGAACACAGGGTCCTGCGGTAGGTCCAAGAGAAAGTAGTTACCACTCATGAACCAAACTCTCGGACCTAAGGCTTACAATTAACTGTAAATGTAATAAATAAAATAGTCAAATTGTAAATACATAAATAAATAAATGTTACTACGTAAAATAACAATTTTGTCTTATATAAATGGTTTTCAGCAGAAGTGATGTGAACCCAGCTAAAATTTCATTATCTGTCATTTTGTTTCTTCAAGTGGTTTCTAAAATGAATCAAGGATTTGCCTTATGTGTTACAGAGTGTGCAAACATGCCACATTTTCCACAGCTTTAGAAAGCAAAAACACGATTAGTCCATATAATGCAATGATTTCAGTGTATATTTAATGTTTTACTTAAAAAAAGCCACAAAGAATTCTAGGTATAATTAATAAGTGAATTAAAAAAAAACAAGATAATACTCAGATAGAACTTGAACAAAACTTTAAGACTGTGAAATGATAAATCTATAGGATACAACAGACTTATGGTGGCCCTGAGAGGTCAAATGCACTGCAACTTAAAAAAAACAACAACACAAAACACCAGCGAGTAGAAAAACGCTGCAAAAGCTCACGAAACAAAACAGGCATGTTTCTGAGGAGACAATAACGTGACATGCAGAAGTTGACAGAAACCAAAGCATGTGCAGGATCGCTCTGAGATGCTTTAAATAAAGCGGAAGATTCATTTGTGGAGAGGGAGAAAAAAATGCAGGTACTGTGTGTTTTAGTCACGATTCATTAAATACTGTAGCTACATGCTTTCTATTAGCCGCTTACTGTTAGCTTGTAACGCCTGCAGCTGTTCTGTCACGTAAATGTTTCCCAAAAAACACTTTGTTGTGTTTTTGTGATTTTCTTTTAAAGTCTAGTACTTTTGACCTCCCAGCGCCACCGTACCTGGGCCTAGATTTGAACTCCAGGCGTTGTTCCTTTGAGCTCACTGCGTCATCATGCCATCCATTTATTTTTTAGAAATAAATTTATGCATGTATGTATGTATTTATTTTTTTTTTTAAATTTATTTAGGAAGTAATTATATAATCTCGCACATTTTTTCCTCAGAATAATAATAAGCAGGTTAATGAAAAAACACATTGTAAAGCTTTAAGTTAATATAGGGTTCATCACAGCCATACACACTTTTATTATTTTGATGGCTTTGATATACTAATAATACTGCAAAATAAATAATAACACAGACGAGTGTCATATAGCAACAGTGAGTACACCAAACTCCAAAATTTAAGATGCTCCTGAAATACTGTTTCACTGATATCTTTGAAGTTTCTGCACCCACCTGATACTTCAGTCTGCGTGAAGTGAATCCCCACTTGCCCCCGGCTTGCCGGTGTTCTGGCATCCCTCTACAGGGAGGTGAGCAAAAGGAATGCTTCCTTATCAAGATCAGTGAAATCCCAAATTCAAATTCAACACCTGCGCGGTTGTAAGGGGAACACTTGTATCTCCACAAATGTCAACTTTTCAAGAGAGGAGAAAGTAAGCCTCGTATTCTGCTCTACCGCTGTGCACTTTGTGTTTGTTAATCCTGTTATATAAGCCTAAGAACAGCAGTGTTTTCTCAACATAAAGAGGACTTAATAGTCTTTCATTTTAAGATAGTCTGCTTCACTGTTGAGTCTCTGCATTAAATGCCTTAAACTCTGTCATGAAATCTATTAAGTCGTCTTTTTCCTTCTTCCCTTCTAGGGTAAACAGCCAAGTGATCAGCACATCAAACAAGTTTGCATGCGAGTCATGCAAGGTAAGAAAAGATAGGCCTTTGACCCCATTTATCACTCCCCCGTGCCTCATTTCATGACTTTAATACGTCCCAGAATGCCTCATTACACAACCACACACAGAGCCACGGCTGCATTTTCTCATTTATCCGGGTGGTTGCTGAATACTCTGAAGTTGAAAAAGCGAAGGTCTCATAGCCAAAACATGAAATAAGCTTCAGCCTTTGTTTATTTGATGGATGAAAGATCCCTCCTCTGAGTTTTAGAAATGTTTCACCGAAGTCACAACCTCTGTTCTCTTCATTCTTTTGCTCTTACGTCTTCACAACTCATCTCCTATCCTCATGACTATTTTATACCCGATGTGCTGAAAAATTAATTTCACCTCCAGCAGACCTACACTCCTCTGCTCCAAGCAAAGAGTCTGCCTGGGAAGGAAATCTTTAAAAAAAAAAAAGAGCAGTCAAGCAGCTTCAGCATGAATTTTCATCAGGAGCCAGAAAACTGGAATTTTAAGTGCAAAATACCGTGCAGAAGGGAGCCACGGGAGTTTAATATTAGATCCTTTGCACCATGAACATAAATTTTCTGTCACTGATTGCTTGAAATAAAGAATATTATCTCCTTTCTGCTCAATTTACTGGTGTCCTATGGAAAAAGGTTGAAAGCAGGAAAGGCTTGAGGGATATCATGACCACACTTTCACCTCCATCGTGTCCAGTGCTCAAGTTTAAGAGCTGCCACGCGAGAATTGTTTCAGACCTAAGTGTGACATCAGTTTTTAGAAATGAGCCTTCTGGTGACAAATGATTTATTCTCAAGTGTTATGCCTTGAAAGTTCCCTTGATAACTATCAACTAGAGCTGTTGAGAAGCATTCAGTGACTGTTTTTCACTTAATGGCTCATCATCTTTCTGTCGCGCTTCCACAGAACAGCTGGCTCAGTTAGCTGCTAGTTTAAGGAGGCCAGAGTCTGGCATTGCTGGTTTACCTGGAAAACCCGGGCCACCGGGGCCTCCTGGTCCTCCAGGAGACAACGGCTTCCCCGGGCATGCTGGCTCAAGAGGCCTTCCAGGACTCAAAGGGCCACCAGGACAGATGGGAACAAAAGGACCCAAAGGTGATGAATGCGCTCTCCTTTTATGCTTTTTAATTAGACATCAAACAAAACAATGGCACAATTCTTTTTTTCTTTTTGTTTTTTGTAAATAAATCCATTCATTATATAATACGTCTTACAGGTGACATGGGAGACAGAGGGGCCAGAGGACCCATTGTTCGAGGACCGAAAGGTCAACCTGGACCACCTGGACTTCCTGGTGAGTACATTTTTATCTCTGTGTGACTATTATCATGCACAATTACACATTACAAAAGTTAAACAACCTAAAAATAAAATAATAAAGCCTACCTTGCTAAATCTAATCTATTGAAAAGCAAGCAACAGTCTTTTATAATAAATCATGTGTGTAGCTGCTACATTAAGGATAAATGTTAACCTGTTTATTAAAGTCAGCAACTAAGTAAAGCATATTTTGTCATCACAGGGGAACCGGGAAGGCCTGGCTATGGCCGTGACGGTCAGGATGGGCAGAGGGGACCTCCTGGTATTCCTGGACAGCTCGGTGTGCCCGGGCCTCCGGGTCCAGCCGGTCCTAATGGTTACTGTGACCCATCAGCCTGCAACCTTCAGGCAGGAGCTGCGCAGCAGTCCTTGGATGTGAAGGGACCTGCAGGAAACTAAGAGACATTCTGGCAAAGAACAGAAAGACTGTCGAATTATCTCCCCTGAGCACACAGCATTTTTCACAGTTTCTTCCCAGGGGCTCTAGCTGGCACAGTGCCTTTGATTCGCTAACCTCTTGTCTTACGAGCATGTTTTGTGCCAGCCACATCTCCATCAGAAGCAGCCAGCCTCTTTGAGTCGTGGAAAAACACACACATATATATATTTTTTTATGCGCTGCAAAAATCTAGCCTGTTCTGGTGTGTTTTTTTTCTACCTGAGAGATGTTTTGATATATTCAGGACTGTGTTCCCATTTCCGACATATAAAAATGACCAGAAATGGTTGTTTATCCCACTCTTCTTGTACCTCTGCCTGAATTTTCTTTTTGTGGTCTCCCTTAACTTGTTTTCCGAAATAAAAGCTATTCCTTTTCCTCCACTTTTTCCCAGAACATCTCAAATAATTAACTAAATTAAATCAGGATGAGGATTTTCTGGGGGTGGGGGAGCTGAGGGTTTCAAACCATCATGGTCTCTATGAGCTGATCTTCCAAAGATAACCTTTCCGATACCCTCTTTTGAATATATAGTTTTACATTTCTGACTGTCTTTTCAGGCTTGCTGTGTGGTGTAAATCTGTAAAAACTGAACAGTGGTTACTTCTATTCCCTACAAACCCCCTGATGTGAGATGTTACCTCATTGTAAAAAATGACAACAGAGCACAGCTGTGCATATGTGGGAGTATGTTTGAAGGATGAGGGAAAACCATCATCAAAGTAAGAAATACACAGGACAGCATATGGAGTGTTTAATTTATTCTGTATACCGGTGTGATTAAAGATAAAAAGATATTTTGTAAAGAGTATCAGGAAATGATTCTTGACCATTTTTCCAAGAACCTCGGAGTTAAAAATAAAATAAAATACAAATGTCACAACTGACTAAACAGTCTCACAATCTACCAGCTGTTTGCACCTTTCAATCACATCACCAGATCCTCTGCAGCAGATGGTGCTTTCCCAGTAACAGAGATGCAAATTTCCATTTTCTTCTAAGAAATAAGCACTTTTCCTCATGACATAGTCAAAACTCTCCAGAGCAGCTACTACATAAATGTTGCAGTGACAATGTTTGCCTCAGTTGTTTCTCTGATGTCACAGCTGCTTAAATAAGTTCAATTCCAAACTAGTTTGACACATATCCCTCGCTATTAACGCCACCACATTTTAAAAAAACATGTTGAAAGAGTAAACTGGCTACCACCCCACCCCCCAAAACAAAAGAACAATAATTAACACAGAAACAGCATCAGGTTTGTGAATAAAGTTTTACTGAAAAGAAGTGTAAGTGCAGAATATACAAGGAAGTCACGCACTGAATAACATTTATTGCACACGTGTAAGGCAGATGCCATTAATCAGTGTAAATGAAAGAAGCTGCAAAGAAGGCTGTAAAGTATAACCTCTGATGCCTGGTAACCCCCCCCCCCCTTACACTCCGCCAACAACAGGAACATCACCGCGCCTGTTCTCTGTCTTCCCATCAGCACGTCGGCTGATAACAGAACTGCAATATGTGTGTTTTTACATAGACATGAGGCTTTCATTTGCTTTTTCAGTTAAAAGGCAACAGTTTTTTTGGTGTCTCCCCCCCCAACAACAACAACAACAAATCTAATCATGTCGTTGTGGTAAACCAAGACTGAGGTAGGTGTTCAAACAAAGAACAAACATTGAAGTCACACGGCACAACATGAGCTTATAAAAGAGCAGAGATCAGTTTCACTGAGACCAGCAGGCAGACATTTTTAATCCTAGGGACCACGCTGAGAGTCTGCTACATATTACATCTCATTACAGGCTTTGCTTGCAAGATTAGATCACATGTGGCAACCGGATCGACTTACATTACTGGAGAGAATATGCAAAAAAAACAAAGAAGGAAAAAAGAAAGAAACACGTGCACGTATGAAAGCGGCGTTATTGTTTTAGGATGCTTCAACCTTCAATGACTCTGTCCGCGAGTTTGCTTTCATCTGACATTTTCCACTTAGAACAATTGGAGTAATATGAATGGCTTCAAATTTCTAGTGAAGTGAGCTGTGTCATCAGCAGCCAATTTGTGTCCTCCCTACTTATTATGCTGTTTAGTTAAACTGAAGCCACAAACTGGTGCACATTAATATCAATTGAAGCTAAATTCAATATATGGAGGGAGGTGCTTTCATCAGCACGCTGAAAAAGTTTAGGTCACATTAGTTTGCTGATGCTGTCTCATTTGAATCTCATCAAGGTCAGTGTTATCGTCTCTGACGGGAACCCATTAAAACCGAATATGAAAATTACTTTGATGAAAGGACAGGAGCTCCTAGAAGGAGGGGATTTTATGTGGCCTACAAAAGCAAAGAATAATAGTTTCCCATTCACATTACAAAAGCAATGAAATACATGTCCAGCAGGGGGCTCTTTCAACTCACAAATGAAGTTTGTGGCAAGCGTTTGATTCAGTACTCCTCTAAAATTAAACCCACCCAGTCTGATAAAATTTAGCAGAGATAAAACCAAGCTGGCATGCTGAGAAAAATGTAAAAAAAAAAAGGGGAAAAAAAGCTCTCCAGATACTCTGTAAGATGCGAGTTAAAATTTACATGTATAAGAGAAGAATAATGACTGTGAAGTACAAAGGGAAAAAAGTGTCAAACTGCAGATGTTAAAGGAGAGACAGAAAGAACCGAGCTCTTAATGTCACAAAATTTCAGATACACACACAGAGCGTTTCAAACATGAATCACAGCAGGACTCTTTAAAAGTAAAATTAAAGCCTTTGCATCAAGCTCTAATTAAACAGAGCTCAAAATGAAAACCTGAGGAAACCAATATACACTACAGGCTAATTATCTTTTTCTTCTACACAAAAAAGTTTAGTAAGATTATAAAGTTTGAAAGAACAAAAACTTTTTAAAGAAGTGAATAAACTAAAATCCAATGTGTAAATGCAGGATTTTTAAATTTTTTTTTGTCGTCTTTAGCATACTTAAGTTCTTAAAATGTGTGTTTCTGCACAAGATCTACACTACAGTTACACGGCCTGTTTAGATAAAATGCACAGGCTTCAAAGGTTTCAGAAAATTCGTAGCACATAAATAAATCGAAACTCCAGTCTCAAAGCTCCCTGAAACCCAACTGTTAAAAACACCACGGTGCGATTACAAGAAAGTTCAAGTACATGAAAAGTTTGATGCGTCTGTTAGCTGTAGTGTAGTATTCTGATCTCCTTTGTGTTTCTGAAAATCAAAAATATACATAAAAACCAGAGGAATTGTCATACACGACACCTTGTAAACAATATGTGTTAATAATTTGCAGCACTGTGTGACAGGTGAGAACCTTAACGTGTTGTTACAATGACAAAAAATGGATGAAAATGATGTTGTCAGGTCCCTTAACTCACCCCATTACACAAGAAAAATGAAAAGGAAAAACAAAAACAAAAATTGAAAATACACAATATTTACAGATTAACTCCACAGTAAAGCTAAATGAAGGGTCATGCTACAATCACTGAACACAAATGCCATTTAAATTACATTCATTTCATGTGGAAAAAAATGATGTAAAAGGCTAAAAAAAGAAGCTCCAGACAAACAGTGTCACTGAGCTGTTTGTTGGTTTTGTCTTACAAAAGCTTTGGCAATCCTCGCCGACGAGCGCTCAGTTAACAACTCGTGACTTGCAGAAAACTGGAAGACGCGTTAACCGACAATTATACGGCAGCTTCTTTTAAAAGTGATCATTGTACACGACGCAAAGGTGTCACCAGAGACTCCATCGGGATTACGGGTAATCCGAAAATCCACTTTCTAGTAACAACTATACTCAATATTCATGCTACATTTCCTACATTCATTATGACCATTTTGAAAATACATTCTTGCAGAATGCGGCTTAAAATAAATAATTTCTATATCAGACACGTCGGCTGCACTTTGGTTACATAAGGCGCTTCATAAATCTGCTATTTTCTCACACCTACACGTACAATAAGTACATTTGCTCAGCTAATCTGTTCCTCAAACACACAGAAACTCGTGCAAACACGCACGAGAACACAGAAACATGAGATGTACCTTCGGTCGCCACAACAGCTTATCTGAGTGCGAACAGAAGAGTGCATAGACATGCCCATTAAAGAGGCAAACGCATAATTAAGATGGTGTTTTTTTTTCAGACAGGAGTCATTTCATGGTCTTGAAAGACATGAGAGTTGACAAGGAATGCATCACGTCACAGTAGAGCATATGAAATTTAAAAAAAAGGAAAATAACTTAAAAGTACTGCATTGCAAAGAGATTTCAGCTGTATTCAAAACAAACCCAACAACAATCCCAGAAAAACAAAACCCAGACAGCATCTGAGTGTTTTAGTAAAGTGAAAAAAAAGGTCAGCGGCGAGTCTCTCCGACTTCCCCTGCTGTGTGGCTGCAGCACTGAGCTCAGAGCCGGATGGCTGTCTTCGTAATAGCTCAAACCCCTCTGCTGGGCTCACAAAGATGGAAGAAGACAGTTGCTGGGGTCGCAAGTACCGGGGGGTCCACGGGGCCCTGGAGAGCCAGGAGGGCCCCGAGAAGAGATCCCAGGTGGGCCTTCACAGAGAATTAGAGTGCATTAATTACGGCACCAGGCTGCACTTTATCATCATTCAGAAGAGCTTTCAATTAGTGATAAAGCAGGCACATGTTCCCCTCACAAACACTCACAGCCATTCACTGTCCATACAGGCGAGCTGTACAGAATCACAAATGGAGGGTAGCCAGCTGTGAACATTATAGTGCTTCTGCTACATTTAGATCATCGCCTGGAAGTCCCGCTCTCACCACTCACACGGACCTCGAAATTGCACAGAGTATTAAAAGTATACTATCTCCAAGTAAAGAAAGCTACACGAGTTAAAAATTAGCAGTGTGGTAAGATAAATTCGTTGTACAAACACATGTACAAATATGTTTATTAATGCTA